TTCATCCTTGAAAAAGCAGTATACCATAGAAGTTCAGAGGTTGCCCAGGTTATCTCCTGGAGTGAGTCAGTAAGCTGTTTGAATCTTTGTTTGCTGTCTGCAAAATCAGGATAATCTCACCACATGATAATATTATGAGGATTTAATGAAATAGTAATTAGCAAGTTACTTAGCAAGTGAATAATATTCAGAAATTCTCAATATTTGTTAGATTTCATTTCATTTTTCCTTCTTCCTAAGCTCATTAGTGCCTTTCCTATTTAATGAAAACAATTTTAACTGCCCTTAATATATCATAAAATCCTATTAGAAGATATTCAACTATAACTGATTAAAAAAAAGTTCCCTAAACTGTTGTGTTACAAATACAAGGCATTCATATAATGCATATACTTATTCATTCAGTCATTTGACAGATATTTAGCAAGCACCAATTTTGTGCTAGTATTGAGCTATACAATGTATGAATGTGAAGATGAATTAGATACATTCCCTCCCTATCGTGAAGTAATTCACAACCTGTTAGAAGAGGGAAGATTTCGACTTGAATACCGAAGCAAAAGAGGCAGCACTATGTGTAATTAATGCCACAAAAGCAGTAGAAAGAAATGCTATTCAAACCTGAGAAAGGAAGCCATCATTTCTGGATACAACATTCAGAAGAGAAAGAATTTATGAGAGCATCACTTTGAAAGTGATGCATACAACTTTGTTAGGTACAGATAGCCACTGAGTCATTCCAAAAGGAGAGCAATGTTCAGAGGGAAAAACAAAGAAGGGGCAATTATATTTATGGATTGGCAATTAGTCTAGCTTGGCAGGAGTCTCGGATATATCTATATATCTTTCTATATCTATCTATCTATCTATCTATCTATCTATCTATCTATCATCTATCTATCTCTATATGATCAAAGAGTATGGAAGAGGCTAGAAGGGGCTAAGACTCATTGTGATGCTGTTTTGACAGTTCAGGTGTGAAGTCATAAAGAAGAGAATTAACATATGACTCTGGGGAATAGGAAGGTAGCCAGGGATTGAAAAGATATTGTGGGAGAAAAATCAAATCAACAAGATATGGGAACTTACTGGATAAGGAAGTTATAGATGGAACATAAAGGTCCACAGAGGATTTTTTTTTTTTTTAATTTGAGTATAGTTGACACATGAAGCACAATGATTTTTTAAGAAGAAAGCTATAGAAGATTGGCACACACAGAACTTCGTTACAAGAGGAAAGTGGTTGGAGGGGAAAAGAGAGGCAGCTTAGAGTACAGTGACTCTCCATGTAGTAAAAGGAATGAAAGAAGGACAATGGCTTCACAGAGTAGTGCAGCAGGGAGCTTACTGATTAGGAGCTCAGAACTCTGAAGCCAGACCTTCTGAGTCCAAATTCTGCTTCTGCCACTGAGTTGCTGTATGACTAAAAGCTAGGTACTTAAACTCTCCAAGCCTCAGTTCCTTTATTAGTGAAACAGGCATAAAAATTATATCTAACCCATGAGTTGAACAGTTGGAATTCATTATAAATTCCATAACAATTTTTGTACTTATTGGAGTAAGACTGAGAGCTCTATTAGAGCGTGGAGGAAACATGACATCTAGTAAAGTAGAAAGAAGTAGCCGTTAATTCATTCACCTAAGTGGTCTCCCCTGGAGCTTGTCAATTGCACCAGGCTCTGTTCTGAGCATTGAGGATATGAGATGATCAAAGAGGCAGAATCTCTACCCTTATAGAGATTACAATATGGGGAACACATAATAAATAAGCAAGTACAAAAAATGAAAGCAGGATGGTCATTCACCTTGCTAAAGAAAAATGAAGCAGAACAAACAGAGCAGAGAGTGACCAAAAATGCTGTGTTAGACAATAGTCAGGGAAGACCCGTGATGGTGGCCATTGAATGCAGACTTGAATGAAATTAAGAAAAAGCCATGTAATTATCTACGAAAAGAAATTCCAGGGAAAGGAAACAGCAAGTGAAAAGTCCTTGAGTTTAGATATGTGTTACTTTTTTTTTTTTTTTAAGATTTTATTTATTTATTTGACAGAGACACAGCGAGAGAGGGAACACAAGCAGGGGG